AGACTTCTCAGTTCTCGAGTCCCTGTATTGCAAGAAGAATCCTAAACGCTCTGGCATCACAATATCGGCGCTATTTTGTTACCGCAATTCTTGAAAGATGTGTCCGTAGAGATCACCTACCAACAGGATGCCACTTAAGGCCACGATCATCTTGAACGCCATAGTAGTGCGTAGGGAAGGTAGTGCGTAGGTAGGAAGAATTGTTTCAGAAAGGAACTACTTGTTTGTTGGGGCAGAGTAACCTGTTCAACAAGCCCTCTGACTTTCCTTAGAGAATGGATACCTGTACAAAAGGAGTAAACAAATGTAAAACACGAAACCGTCCCACGGATAACACGTTTCGCAAATGACCGAAGGGCACCACGAAAAGCACCATCAATCAAAATCATTCAAGTAATAAATTAAACACGAAAGACCGCGTTTGACCGCATTTCCAAACACCGAGAAGAGAGATGAAACTACGGCGCGTAGCGGGGTATTTTTGACAAACTTTGAGATGTTTGGAATTGTGGTCAACTCGGCCTTTAGTTTTTGATATACCTTCTTAAGCAAAGCTAAAACTGAAGAGAAAACTGAGAAATAAAATCGTAAACATCTCTGATAATTAAGATCAGATATCCAAACACCGTCACGGTCATAATTTCCTTTGTGAAGACTTGATGAATTATCAATGAGTTTGAGAATACTTTTGATAACATGACATTTTTATCGTTTTCTTTTACTTCCATACGTCTCTACGTCCTCACTTATATTCTATTACAAGAACAAGGTTCGGAAAATAAGGGTGTGGTTTGTGCCGCCTTGTAAAGAGCTCATCGTCTCTCACAAATACAGCACACTTTATCTAATTTGGATTGCTTTTCTCGTTAATTTTACCACAGCCATAAGTTCATTTCATCACCGTAGTAAATTGAAATTTATTCCACTGATATCAAGGTAGAAAACGTCGCACCACAATGGATTTTTCCGCTGGGACGGAATTATCATTGTAAGTCCAGCGAATAAATAATTTTGAAACAAACGGCTCGCCATATCAGAGAGCCCCAAAATCATTGGTTTTGAATGATAATTGTTTTGTTTGATCTGCGCGGCTGTTATGCAAATAAAAACGGTCTAGGCTTAGTTTTGCACTTCAGAACAAACTCCTTTTAACGCAAATATTAACTTTATAAAGGGAAAATGTAAACATCGGTTTACCTTGCAAATTCATTTCCTAGTTGTCTAAAGGCAAGAAATTCAGTTAGGTTAATAGAGGGCCTTATATAACTGCGTGTAAGAGGTCTTTGACGCCGACATTCAAGACAAGCAGGTCTGAGTTTCGAGCAATTCACCGCCTGAGACGGGAAAGGATAGATATTTTGTAAGTCGTTCCAGCATTACTGTGCTGTATCATGTTTGTTTAACTAATGACACGCGCACATCGCGAAAACTGCATAATGTGACGTGATGTTCACGGAGCTAATTATCTCTGTAGCTTAGGTCATACCGTTTTAACGACGAAAAACTCAAGTAAACTCCACATTCTCCATATCAACCTAGTCGAATTTCACAATTCCTCTACCCTCTGTTTCAAGCAAAACACTGGGAGCGTGCATCGTACGCTGCCAATTCTACCTTGATATTAATTAACTACCGTGATCAAATAATCGCAACAATCACTGCAGCAACGACTAGGTAAAGGCATAAATTAGTTCCATGTAAAACGCTTGGACTCCGTCGTCCCTTCTTGTCGATCCTTCCCCGTCCGTTACTACCGAATAGCCTTGAATCGAGAATGTACACGTTGTTTTGAAACTAAAGCAAGTTATTTGAGATCCTGCCTGACCAATGCTTCGTCTTTGTCTGAACTTCTATGAGCACGAAATGTTAATTGACAGCCAATCCCTGGAGGCAATTTTGCTCATATTTTTTCTACTGCTTTTTTAAACAACCATCAACAGCCCGCTTCGGATTAGTTTCATCAGTTTTTAACAGCAAAAGAACTTTAAAAACAACCATCAGATTATCGATGGGGTGCATTCAACTAAATGAGAAGTAAGTCTCTTGACCGAACATTGGGCGAATTTACCGCTTAACATTTTTAAAACGAAAGCCGTTGCACTTTCAAAACCAGCAGCCGATGTTATTGTTCTCAAATTCTTTATCAGCAAAATTTTTCACTGCCGCAAGAGATTCGAATGGCCGTCAAACTTTCGACCGGATGAATTTAACGTTAGTCCAGGCTCTGGGTAAAACACGTGACGTATCAAACTCTAAATGGATGCATCAATGCGATGCATCCGTTGTGATTTTGCCCATACAAAAAAATATAATTCAGCGTTGTTGATGTTAAGTTCTCGGTAAATTCTCTTCGCCGCGCGAGAATCGAATAATAATACCGTCAAACTGTCGATGGGAGTAATTCAATCAAATTAAAAACTAGCTTTTAGAAGAATATTCGACGTATAGAACTCTAAAGCCTGGTTTTCACTAGCGACACAAGCACAAGCGCAAGCACAAACGCAAGCAGTAGGGATGATCCAAGTGAAAACCAAATTCGACGCAAATACAAGCACAAGCAAAATCACCCGAACCTCCCAAACCGTTTAAGCGAGGTAATCTGGATCCAGTGTTTTCATCGGCCAAACATAACCACGTGTGGTAAATATCCTTGCACTTGTGTCATTCCTAAGCGGCATTTTGTTTTCACTTGTTACAGCGCAAATGCAAGCATAAGCGCAAGAACAAGAAAAAGGAAAAATTTTGATCCTTGTACTTGTGCTTGTGCTTATGCCTGCGTCAAGGCCGTTTTCACGGTGAAATAAGAATATTGTGCTTGCGCTTGTGCTTGACCTTGCGTCGCTGAGGAAAACCAGGCTTAAACGAACGAGTAAGGACCTTCGTTCTGATTTTGCCGGCGAATGAAAAAATTAAATATAATTCTATGTACGATCCATTTCTTGTTGCGCTCGGTCGTATTTTGCAAAATTTTTCACCGTCAAAAATTCCAAAGACTATCCAACTGTCGACGGGAAAAATTAATATTTATGCCCCCTTCCATCGAGTGGTTTTC